AAAAGAAAATAATGCTTAGTAAAATAGCTTGAGAATGAAAAAAAAAAAGTGTTTAATTATATTACGATTAAGAAAACGATTTGAAATTTTTTTTCAAATTTACCAAAATTGTAGGGTATAATAAAGAAAACACGAAAATAACGAAAATTGATTAATGGTATGGCACTAAAAGGTAAAGGACAAGCTATTTTAACCCCGTCCTAACATGTTTTTTTCTTTTTCTTTGGAAGGCCTTGTTACTTTTTTATTTTTAATATCTAGCCAATGTGAAAAAGACAAACTGAAAGATTTTGTTTAGAAAAAGTATAAAAAAAATGATATAGAAGAGACTACTCTTAAAACAATATTATCTTAAGATTAAGACAGTACAGAGGAAAAGGTTTGTTAAAGAAAACTTTTACTTTTAGAAAAACATACTTTACAGAGGAACTCTTTCTTTAGTTAGTGTAATATATATATATATATATATATATATATATATATATACGGATTAATAACAAATTAATGTGCCCTAAAACAATTCAATAAGGATATTCTTAAAGCTTAATTTTTAAGTGCAGTATGTTTTAAAATTTGAAACTCAATTTTCATTTAATTATCTCTTCAAGTTCTTCAAACGAATCAAACCCTTCTATTGAAGGGGAAAAGAAATTACAATTATTGTCTTTAATGACAAATATTAATATAATGAAGATACTTGGTTTTACTTCTTCAACACTTGTATATAAGTAAAAATTATCAATTTCACACATATTAAGAAAATTTATCAAATATATTTAACTTTTATAATTTCACATTGAACATATATTATATTTTTTAAAATATTTTTAATTACATTTATGATAGATAATATTCTCATTTATTATCATACAGATATTTTTGAATGAAAAATATTAAATATAGTTGACTTAATTGAAATTTGCTTATATTTTAGTTCAAAAAATTTAAACTTTTTTTTTGCTTATAATAAGTCTAAATGAAGTATAAATAAAATATAAAATAAAATAAAACTTAAATACAGTTTTTTATGTATTTTTTTAATCAAAATTAAAGTTTTATGTCAATAATATACATAAATTTATATTATAAAAATTTGCATTAAATATAAGTGTTTGTTGCCGAGTTTTAATTAAATATAGTTGAGTTAATGCAGTTTTTGAGTAGTCAATATCATTAAATGATTTTTTTAAGTATGAATGTTGAATTCATTAATTGTGTATTTTATGACTTTGAATGTTGTTGTTTCTATAAATCGTATAAAGTTACTTTTGTTCATCTAAAATTGACAGGAAATTAGCTTAGATCGATATAACTTTTTTTTTATTCTTTATGCGTCCAGACAAATTTTGCTAAAATGTTATATTACCATGTCCACTTTTATGTTAGATACAATACTCAAGAGTAAGTAATGTATGCTTTGTCTAATAATTATCATCAATCTTAAAGTAATGCTCAATAACTTTAGGATAAAAAAGCCTCCAAACTTTATTATGAGACTGTCACAGGATGATTTTGTCTCTAGGCTATGATCACTTCACTTGGTCTTAAAATGATCATAATGAAATTTATATCTTCATATTAAGCGAATCACTGCTTTTCAATCCTTATACATTTGAATTGAACTGAACAAATTACAGTAGCATTCAACACTATCTAATTATTACTTTGTTATTTCATCAAATAATAAGATCGAATCATTTTGCCCTTAGAGACAATGGAATGGAACAAATGCAGGTAGCTTTTGTCAAAATCTAATTTGAATATTACTTGGAAAATTAATGTTCATATTCATTATTAAAATAAAATTAAATCAGTAATAAATTGATATTATAATTATTAAATATTTTTAAAAAGGTAGTATCACGCATTAACGTATTATTATGAAATAATCTACTTTAATACATGACATTAATACAGATTTTTTTTTCAACAGTGATAAACATTACAACAACATCAACAAAGAGTGAACTTAACTCTTCCTATATTTACTCTAACTTATGATTCGCTTGTAGTGGAGTGATTTTTCAAAAAAAAAAAAAATCCTTTTTCCATTTATAAAACTTATTTATAACTATTATTATTTCAAAGTTAAAGTCCAACCTTGCGTATATAATATAGATTGTCTTATTTATTTGTCATGTTGAAAAAATTACTCTTAATCATTAAACCAGTGGCACACACGCACAAAGAACTAAAATACAAATTTGGCGTAAATACCAGAAAACATAGTATATGTACAATGTTGTAGGCACAAGCACAACTAAAAAGCAATAATAGAAGTATAACAACTGTTACACGGTGTATGTTTAATGTTTCAAAGGAAGAATTTGTAGGGATTCAAAAGGAAGTGGAGGGACAGCAAGAAACCCAGAAGATGTTGAGAGTAACTGAATCACTTTGGAAAAGCATGAACACAAGTTTGTGGGGAAAGTGATAAGAAGGGGTGTTATTGAAAAAGCATGGAATGGAAGGTGGGGTTGTTAATAATATAAATCAAACTTTATGAAAAAAAGAACATTTATGAATTAAGGAGCGGAACATTATGTCTTTGAGATAGAGAAGCATCTACAGTACGTCTCTATATAAAAGTCTGGTCATTAACAGAAATCCACCTCCACGACAAAGGGATGCATGATGTAGATTGAAATTGATGGATCCAAAAATTTCAAGGGGCATTAGCAACTTCTATTACCATTTAGCAGTGGTTATTCATTTAGTACCCACCATGGCAATAAAATGGTTTGTTTTCTTCTGTTTATAGCTTCTTCTAATGACCAATGAGTAATTTCCTTGTTTTATACTTTATAGCCAGCTAATAAATTTTTTTTTCCATCAATAGCTAACACTTGTAAAGTTGTAAGTAACCTCTACCCATTTATTTTAGTTCAGGCTATAATTAATCAATAGAATACAAACTATTCACAGAGTTAGGGTCTATTTATTTTCTGTCTTTCTTTTATTTTTATTTTTATTTATAAAAAAACTTCTTTAATAATAGTTTTAAAATTATTTTCAAAAGTAACATATCTTTATTTAGCTATTATAATTAAAGAACAAAAACATCTCTAAATTATTATGGCTTTCTTTTTTTTAATTTTATATTACTCACGTTTTTCTTACACTTTCACATCATCATTCCTCTTATTCTCTAAAAATTAATTTCAAAAAAATCTTTAAAAACTAACAAAAACACATTCAAGCATAAAAAATTATTGCATGATTGGAGACTATTTGACGACCAATTTCAACTTGACATATAATCACATTTTTTAATTTATGAAGAGAAAAAAAAAAAAGTTAACAACATGTGATGTAATAGAGAAATTGACATAAACTATATGATCATATTAAGATTTTCCCGAATTGCATGCATTCAGACCATGAAATAATTTTTTCCTCATGAGACACACCCTTAATTTCTGATGGTACTACCCTTACCCTATCCTTTAGAAAGTGGGATGTGGTCCATTTGACATTTCGGTTAAGTTTCCCCATCTGCATTTTGTTCACTTGCTGCCTTCTGAATTTTAAACTTCAAAAAGTTTGTTGGCAGTAAGGCTTCTAGTTTAATTGAGGTTGCCAATTTTATTTTTTTTTAGAAAAATCATAATGATGGAAGACTAGCTCCATTCTGAACTCTGAATTTGAAACTTAAGAATGATCCGGGGTTATTTTAATTGTATAAATATATCTTTTATTCATAATCTTTAAAAGAGGACATTGATAGCATCAGGTGTTTTGATATGTCCCTTGAATGCAATGAACATGATTTGGACTATTATCATGTGCATTTTCCTTTTGACAAGCAACTACCTGAATACAGATGTTGATGGGCTCATTTACTATAGTGTCTTTGTTTCTGTGGGACTAGCTGGCTATGGCTGGACTAAGAAAAGAAAACTACCATGCATGGTAACATGTACAGATTGTGCAGTTATAATCAGACCATTTTTTTTACTTTCAAAGTGATTCACTTGCAAGGTGAAAGTGAAACTGTGAAATGTCCTAAGGGAAGGGATGATATATAATAGCAATACCAGTTCCAACCCACCAATCAAACAGGATGAGGGAACACTCAAAAAAGTGTTTTCAGTTGATAGTGATTTTCAAACAAAAAAGATTCAGCATGATTGAGATACTAGAAGTTAGACTGCTATTTTGAAAGAGACGGTTCAAATGTAAGATGGATTTTATGAGTGGAATGAGATTCACAAGCCAAAGCAAAAGGCAAAGCTCTTGAATTTCTGTGATGTGCATGATAAGAGAGGGAAAGTGACACTCATGGACTTTTATCAAACAATGGAGCTCTAAAAGGACACCCTATGAGCTGTACCATGTGACCCATAGTTTCAGCTTTGAATATTTGACTTAGGATTTCGGTTTTTCATATCATACCCTCAATTTTTTACTGCCCTGGGAGATCCAAGGTCAGCTTTGGCTGAATGGCTAGCTTTATGTGTTCCTTCCTAGATCGTACACATCCAAATTTTTGGGCTATTTCTGATTTTTTTTATTCGTTATATTAGATCCTTTTCCTTCTGACAAAGCTGTTTAACCTACAGGACAAGTTTCAATTTCAACCTTAGTTCTCTCTTACGTGTATCATGATAATAATTAATTATCCAAGATTGCTGCTGCCACTGTCAGCTTTAACTACCAATATTAAGACTTCACACTTGACACACTCAATTTCGAATTACTAACCATTATTACAAGTTCTCATTAGGCCTATCAAGGTTATTCTTATGACATAATTAAGAGCTAAATGATGAGGAAATCACGTGAAGCAGCATTAAAGTTAATAAATAGTAGATGAATTTGAACTGTGATATGACCGCTTAATCAAATAATGCTATGTATCAAGCAGAGAAAAGTCTACGCAATTTCGTAAAGTGGTCTTTTCCTTTCAATTTGACCCATGAAAGCTTCTGGTTTAGGAAATTGATAAATGCCAGCAGTGGATTGTTCAACGAAGACAAACATATAGATGGAGTGGAGTGGGGTAACTATGTTGGGTTGATTAAGATAATTGATAATTGATTGATTAAGCATCCACAATTAGCAGGCTTAAACCACTTGTGCCTCCAAATCAGTGATGCACTGTCAACAATACAACCCAAATCTTTCTTTTCTGTTTTGGATTTGAAAATGCCAAACTGGTGAGCTAAGAGGCCTTGAAAAAGGAGGGACAGAGAGCATGATGAGTAGCATGGAGGACAATTAGTGAGGGAAAGAGGGAATCAATTTAAGAAATTATAAACTAGGCCCTCTTGTGCATTTTATGCTCAAAGTTGTGCTCTCTTTATCATCCTTGTCTGAGCTATAGCTTTTTTCTCGAAAGCTTCCTTTTTGGGCTATATGTTCAACAACACCATTTCCTCTGAACACCCCATTCCTGTCTAAAACACAACACAACTCTCAAAATCTCTAGAATGGTAAGCCTAGTAGTGACTACTGAGTCATTCATTCGGTTCAACTTCAACCCTCTTTCTCTATCTCTCTCTGTGTATTCTTGATGAGTCTCAAATCTTGTCATACAGGCAGACCATGATGCAAAAGAAGAACAAAGGCCACTCAACCAATGGAAGAGAAGCAAAGGAGGATTCAGGGCTTCTATGTTTATTTTCGGTAAGCAAATTTAAAAGGAGCGAAAGAAGAAAACTCTTATGTTATGTGATTTGCTAGAAAGATATGTATTAAGCTTTTTTTGCCCCCCTTTCCTTCCTTGTTTCCTGTAGTCTTGTCAGCATTGGACAACATGGGTTTTGTGGCAAACATGGTGAGCTTAGTCCTATACTTTTATGGAGTGATGCACTTTGATCTGTCAAGTTCAGCCAACACCCTCACAAACTTATTGGGTTCAACCTACTTGCTTTCCCTTGTTGGAGGCTTCATCTCAGATACTTACTTGAACAGATTCACCACATGCTTGCTTTTCGGATCACTCGAGGTTCTGGTAAGTGGTGAACTAAATAATTACAAATCCAAATCCCAATGACCTGCCCCAACATAAAAATGAATTAGTTCAAAAAGAGGTTTTAGTAATAGTGCCTTAAAAAATACTAATTTCTTAAAAATAATCTCATACCAAACATGGTTGTATTACTATTGCATCTGATGTCACACATGCTGTAGGCTTTGGCAATGCTTACAGTTCAAGCTGCTTCAAATCATTTACACCCTGAAGCCTGTGGCAAGTCAAGCTGTGTGAAAGGTGGCATAGCAGTGATGTTCTACACATCACTGTGCATGTTGGCATTGGGAATGGGAGGGGTGAGAGGATCCATGACTGCATTTGGTGCTGACCAATTCGATGAGAAGGATCCAACTGAGGCAAAAGCTCTTGCAAGTTTCTTCAATTGGCTTTTGCTCAGTTCAACTGTGGGAGCAATCACAGGAGTCACTGGTGTTGTGTGGGTTAGCACACAAAAAGCATGGCATTGGGGATTTTTCATCATAACCATAGCTTCCTCTGTTGGCTTTGTGACCCTTGCTCTTGGAAAACCATTCTACCGCATCAAAACTCCAGGAGATAGCCCCACTTTGAGAATTGCTCAGGTTGGTTTGAATTTCATGATAACTATAGTACTAGTAGTAAACAACTAAACATACTTACTTGCATACACATTTTATAATGTTCAAAAGAACCATTTTATTTGTTAACTACAGGTAATTGTAGTGGCGTTTAAAAACCGAAAGTTGTCACTGCCGGAGTCACATGGAGAACTATATGAAATCAGTGATAAAGATGGTACGGTGGAGAAGATTGGCCACACCAATCAAATGAGGTGACTCTCCTTGCTTAGTTTCATACTTAACAACGGGCATGCCCAAATAAAAGGCTAATAATATCGTGCAAATGATAAGACTAATAAACTAAATAGGGTCCAGCAAATTGGCATGTTAGGATTCTTTTTCATGTACCTCGTAGTAGGTAACGCCAAGCACTATGGGCCCACTACAACCTCTGCACGTTTAGGCGCAGCAGAGATATGGAGAATGAATGATTATGGAAGGAAAAAAATCTATGCCGTGTGTAAAGTTTAAACTGCAAAACACAAAATAAAAGTAGTCTGACATAACTGAGGAAGAGGTCTTAAAGAACAGTACCGGATGCAATCAATTTCTATTTATTTATTTATTTATTTATTATTATTATTATTTTACTGAAATATCATTTAACTCTGGGGAATAGGACTAGCAGTGCTTTTCATTTTTGTCTAGGAGTACTTAATTTTGCTCCCCCAACCTGGCAAAGTGGGCACAAGGTTTTGTGTTTTAAATTTTAAACCTAAATTAAGGGCGTCTTCTTAGACTAATCCAAATCGAATCATAATTTGGTTCAGGTTTAACCAGCCAAAAAATTTGAATCGATACTTTTCTCGTCCATTTGCTATGATTCACAACTTGCATCGAGTTGGCCCACATTTGGAAAAAATAGTCTGTATTTCCACTTCTACCATGACCCTTTTACTAGGAAAAAATGAAAAATTGAATAATTTTTGGCGCATCAATTGATCAGTCAATCTCAATGATTTTCTTCTTTGTTGATATTTAATTATTATTTGGTTGCTTAAAGCATAGCCTTCCCATGTACAATAATTGAAAAATAATTGATGAAAACAAGATTTGGGTTTAGACACACATATACATGTCTCCTTTCCCTTTGTTCCACATACATGCATGTTAAAAAGTTGTGGTTTGTTTAATCACGCAGGATTCTAGACAAAGCTGCCATTGTCCAAGAAAATTCAAAACCCCAAGCATGGAAGGTGTGTACAGTGACACAAGTCGAAGAAGTGAAGATCCTGACAAGAATGTTACCCATAGTAGCCAGTACCATTATACTGAACACATGCATGGCACAGCTCCAAACATTCTCAGTCCAACAAGGGAATGTAATGAACCTTAAACTTGGCTCTCTCACAGTGCCAGCACCATCCATTCCTGTCATCCCCCTTGTTTTCATAAGTGTCCTAGTCCCCATGTATGAGCTATTTTTTGTGCCATTTGCAAGAAAAATCACTCACCACCCATCAGGCATCACACAACTTCAAAGGGTGGGTGTAGGGTTGGTACTCTCAGCAATATCAATGGCAGTGGCAGGGATTGTGGAAGTGAAAAGAAGGGACCAAGGGAGAAAAGACCCTTCTAAGCCTATTAGCCTATTTTGGCTTTCTTTTCAGTATGGTATATTTGGCATTGCAGACATGTTCACTCTTGTGGGACTGTTGGAATTTTTCTATAGGGAATCACCTGCGAGCATGAAATCACTGTCAACCTCTTTCACGTGGTTGTCAACATCTCTTGGTTACTTCTTGAGCACCGTCTTTGTCAATGTCATCAATGCTGTTACCAAAAGGATCGCTCCTAGCAAACAAGGGTGGTTGCATGGCTTCGACTTGAACCAGAATAACCTTAACTTGTTCTATTGGTTCCTAGCCACCCTTAGTTGCCTTAACTTTTTTAACTACCTCTATTGGGCCTCACGCTACAAGTACAAATGTGAAGACTCGGGCCCGGGCTTTAAGCCCTTGGGTGAAGTGCCTCTCAAAAGTGAAGGCAATGTTAGAGAATGAACGGAAATGGATTAGTGGATACTTAATAGAATAAGCATAAGAGGCTGTCATATGTGTACTAAGCTTGGGATGTGGAAATAGTTGATTAGTGGTTGAAATATCTGTTATAATATATGGTACATGTTTGCTTGTTTGGTTGATTGTTTTTGTTGACTCTGGAACAAGATGTGTGTCCAGAGTTCAAAGGTTTTCCTTTTTAATTAACTTGTTCCTTTTTTTGTTGTAAGTTGATTCAACTTGGTTTTGTAATTGGCTGTTAAGAGATACTACGTTAATAGTTAGTCATACAAAAATTATAAAATGTGTTTAAAGGATGTATTGAATTGAGATTTTAAAAGATTTTAATTTTTTTAAATTATATAAAAATCTATTAATTTTTAATTAAGATAATAATATTTTTTTTATAAATATCTTAAAAGTTAGTCATATTTAATTAAAAATATTTTCACTTAAAAAAATCTATTAGTATTAAAAAATAAAAAAATTTAATAATTATTTTGATAAATAGATTTTATGAGACTTTTTAATAGAATTTACATATAATTCATTATCTAATAATTTCACTAAAATTATTGAGATTTCGTATAACTTTTTTTTCTTGTTTATTTTCCTTAAATTTTATTTCTTTCTCATCTTTTTTACTTCTATTTTCTTCCTCTCTCACTCTCTTTCTCCTCTCTGTCTCTCTTTCTTATATCATTTTTTTATCTCTCTTTCTTCCCTCTTTCCGTCCGTTCTCATGTCTTCTCTATCTCATATTTTCTTTCTCTTTTTTTTTTATCTCTCATCATTTTTTTCATCTTTTTTATTTTATTTTTTTAATCCTATCCCTTTTATTTATCAATATTTTTTACTTACATTTTTATCTATCAATATTGATGTATATTTATCAACATTTTATTTTTAAATTATTAATTATTATATATTATTATGTTTTAGGATTTAGGGTTTTGATTATTAAATATTATATATTTTGAAAATTTTTTAATTATTAAAATTTTAAAAATGTTTATTTTCAATAAGATTTAATATTTAAATATCAAAATTTTAAACATATATTAAAAACATATTTTGAAAATTCTACTATTCATAAATATCATAAATTTGAACATATTGCTCAAATTCAATAGTTTGAATGAGGAAATATAAAATAGAAGATTGTATGTAGAGAAATGTTACTTAAGAGGACATAAAATCAAAATCAATTATTTATCAAAAGATTGAAAATTTTATTGATTTTATTTTTTTTATTCAAATCTTGTCATTTATGTTATTTTTTTTTATTAATTGTATTTTTTTAAATAAAAAAATCATATTATCTTTTAAAATCTAATAAAATATTAAAAATCTTAATTAAAATTCACATTACAAAAAATCTTAATTATCTTTTATTATACAAATTCATGTTACAAAATCTTAATTAAAAAAGTTTTTGTTTTAAAAAAAGCTTAAAAGGTATTACATTCTTACAAAGTTTCTTAAAATTCACAAGACTTTTTTATGTTAAAAAATCTTATGAAATTTCAATCTAATACACCTCCTAACTTGGTAATTAACACCATTTATAATTTATATTTTTTGTGAGTATTGTGGGAGATAAATAGCGAGCAAATTACAAAAAACTCTAATGCTATAATTTTTAGATTGGCAAAAGTCTTAATTGTCTCATCTATAGCAATATATAATCGAGATATATTCATTTTCAATTACTTCTAATCTCCACTTAATTAAGACAATTTTACCTTTTTCTTTCACTTTTACATAGTTTCTGATTAAAGTAAAATTTTAAACCAAATTAAGTCTTTTTGTATTGTCTTTTATATTTTTTATTTTTTTATTTAAATAAAATATACAAAAGTACAAAAAGTATCGATCTCACTAGTTTATTTTAAAATAAATATAGCTTAAGGTTTGATATGAGAAAAAAAATATGATTATTTTATGTTTTTAATTTTAAATAAATATGAATTTATTATACTTCTGTTTACTTTATTAATATTTTATTTTCTATTTAATAAAAAAACTAGATGAACTAACATTTATTAAAAACAAATATTTTTAAGAAAATAATGATAATTTTGCATGTTTAAAGAACATTAGTTAAATAACATTTAATAATCGTCTATCAATATAATAAATATTATAAAACTGTTTGTTTTAATTACTATTTATTAAAAAGTAAGAATTAATGTTTTGTTTTGAATGCAAGTTTTATTTAACATTTAGAACTTTGATTCTGATAGCAAGTTATTTGTTCCATAGGTCTCGTTTTAAAAAAAGGTATCGTATAACACAAGCCCATCCCTATCCCTAGTTGCTAATACTTTGTTTCCTATCTATTGTAAAAGGGTTAAGGTACCCCTTCTACCTTGTATATATAAGATTTATTTGCCTTTCAAAAAAAAAAGAAGCCCATCCCTATCCCTCGACTCAAATTCCATTCCCCTCTACCATATCATTATTACTGATTAATATGTGGAAAACTTGTATCCCATTCTAATTGTAAATTCTATTCATATTCTTTTTCATTTATAAATTCAAATATAAGACTTTTATTTTTTAAGAAATTTGAACTTGATTTGTATAATACTGTACTTTGAGTCAACATTCCAGTTAGATGATTTATGTTGTGTGTATGTGTTGGGTAAGTTAGAGAGTCCCAAAAGTTGTACCCTTTCTTCTTCTTCTCTTAGTTTCACGGGAGTCTTGGAGTTGGATTGCTAAAGGCTGAATTTTGCATCAAACTTTTGGAGCTTAGGATCTATGGTGTGGTATGGAGCCTCAAAAAGCTTGAATTTTGTTTCCTTCTCCCTTCCTCTTCTTCATTTTTGGTGGCTAAGAGTCAAGGTAATGGAAGTTAAGAATATTTTGTTGTTAGATTATTGTGTTGCATATTGTTGTGCTTTACCAATAATGAGTTTGGATTGTCGGATTAAATGATGAAATTGTTGGGTTGAGGTATTGTGAGAAGCATGTGAAGTGATTTTGATGATCTTGAATAACCCTTGTTGCATGTTGTGTTTCTAATTGGAAATGAGTCTAAAATGTTGTATAGGTGCGAATTTGGTTGTTACATTCTTGGTTTTGCTAAGTTTTAGGTGAAAGGCAGTTTTCGTAATTTGCATTTGCAAAATTATGAAGTCATGTCGAACGCGCCTTCATGGTGCTAGGCAGAATTTTTTTTGTTTGGAATATTATTTTTTTAAAAATATATTTACACAAATGGATCCATATTCAGTTTATTTAGCAAAATGAAACTAAACATGTTTAAGTTCAGAATTCGGTTCTTCAAAAATCGAATTCGTTAGTTCCGACGGGAGGTGGTGGCTGCCAGAATTCGGTTTCCAGGGAGCCGAATTCCGAGCAGCGTTTTTCTTTTTTTTCATTTTTATTAAATTGAAATTAAAAAAAAAAGAATTTATAGTTTTTAAAAATTAAAAATAAATGTAATATTTAAATAAAATAGTTTTTATATTATATAAATAAAAAAATTTAATTTATAAATTTAATAAGTTATAAATGTAATAAGATTAATATTAAAAAATACTAATTTTATTAACTTATATTTATAATGAATTAGAAATTTAATTAATTATTAATTGAAAAAATTATAAATTTAATAAGTTAGTATGTGTTATAAATAAATGTGTTTAAAAATATTAATAATATTTACGAATTAAATATATTTTTATTAACTAATTTGAATAAATATTATTTGTATGTATAACTTAAATATTAGAAGATGAAAAATATATATGTTTAAATTAATTTTAATAATTTTTAAAATTAATAAGATAGAAAATTTGTTAATTAAATTATTAATCATAATAAGTTTAATATTATTAAATATAAATGATTATGAATTGTTGTTAGAAAAAATAAGAATAAAAATACAAAAATAGATAAAAGTTATTCCATTATAAATATAATTAATAAATTTAATACATACTAATTTGTTAAATTTAGTAATTATAAAGATATTTTAATTGTATATATTATTAATATTTTTAAACACACATATAAATATAACTTATTATAATTATTATTTATTACGTTTATAATTTATTATAAATATAACTTATTAAAATTATTTATTAAATTAAAAATTAACTTAATTTTTTAAAATATTAATAAACAAATTTAATTTAATTATTACATATATTTTTTAAATTGTTTAAAATTTTAAAATTCTTTTTTAACAAAAATACAATTTAATAAAAATGAAAAAAAAAAGGATAAGGCTGCTCGGAATTCGGCTTTCCGGAAACTGAATTTCGGCGACCACCACCTCTCATCAGAGTCAATGGACCAGGTCAGAATTTGGTTCCCGAAAAATCGAATTCTGAAAATAGTATTTAGTTTCATTTTGGTAAATAAATTGGGTGTGGGTCCATTTGTGTAAATTTATTTTTTTTAAAAATTATTCTCGAAAATAAATCGCGCTAGGCATACCTTTAAATAAGGCTTTCTATTCTACCCATGTCGAGTGCAAGATTAATGGTGTCAGGCAGGAGGAAAGAAAATTATCTCAAGTTAAAGTGACATTGGGCATGGTTTGAATGATGTCGAATATGAGGTGAGAAAATTATCTTTATTTGAATTGGTGTTTGGCGTGAGGAAAAATAATTGTCTCAAGTTGGCATGAGGCCAAACGTGAGAGTTTGCCACATTAAACATGAAGTCTTATGAGTTCCTTACCTCAATCACGTTGGGTGCGAATAGAATGATTTTGGATGTGTGAGAGACAAATTAAGAAAATAATAACTCTGGTCCTAATAATAAGCAATATAGGTCAAATGACCAATATCAAAAAAAATATGGTTATTATTAATTAATTATACCATGAATTCAATTTTTTCTTATTAAATATACCTTTTACTTTAAGTGGTTGTTAACTTGTTATATTTAATATTAGTTATAATTAAATGCATAAGAAACAAAGTTAACAATAAATAAACAATATAAAATAAATTTAATATTGAGTAACTTTAAAAATTAATGATTGTTATTTATAATTAATACTAGAAAAAAATGTGATTTATTATTTATAATTAAGATCATAGGTAATAATAATCAATATTACATTGAAAAGTAAAAAATAATTTATTTTATAATATTTTTTAAATATTAAAACTATTTTCATTACAAGAGGAATGGAATATTTGTTAAAAATGAATGTTAATTTTTTTTTCTTTTATCAACAAATGTTAATAGTTAGTTGTTAAGTTAATAGTATACTCTCTTTGATTTTAAATATAAGAAGAAAAAAAACTCATATTTATTGATCGCATATAGAGTAAATTTTAACTAACCCCACTTTATTTAATGTTGTGATCTCTAAAATACCTTCATTTAATTGAAATTATTCTTCCAATTTTTTATTTATTTTTTATATCAATTTTTAAAGAATGATAGTTTAGAAAAAGAAGTTATTTTTATATAAACAATTAAATGATGCAAATAATTTTTCTTAATTAGCGTAAATAATTTTTTTACTTATGAGGAGTATTTTTTTTTTTATCATTGAGAAAAACAACAATAGGAAGTATATTATAATTAACGGGTATATACAGTAATTAGATCTAGCTTAGCTCGGTCAAACAGAGTACATAGTGTTTTTTTATAAATTAAAAAAAAATAGTAACAAGAGTCTTTTTTTCTTTTTAATCCCTTAGAATAAGTTCAATTGGGGGAGGAATATAGAGTTAGAGAGATAATGAGTTTGAATCTTCCGTTAACATAATTCATTGATTACTAATATTTGTTATAAAAAATTTAATTTCTATATATAAAAAATTATGAACTAACATGGGGAATTGAAATACAATGACCAACGTGGATTACCTTTTTCCCAGATTACCAGATGGTGAGTGAAGTGAGGTCGTTTATATTATTCTTGATTTGCTCTATGGTGCTGTAAGGCACTGAAGTTAAAATATCATATGCATTTTATTTATAACAAAGGTTTGGTTTATACACTAAAATATTATGTATTGCTGGCAGAGAGACCAAGATTGCCCCCTTATGCTTCTGCCTTTTTGTAAACTTGATCAATTATTTGTGCATAACAGCGAATTTGTGGGAATACTTCTCTTCTCTTTATCATAGTTATATAAGAAATTATTATATGACATTGTTATAAAAAAAACAAAATAAAAAATTGAACATGTGGGATAGGCATGAGCAAGGTGTGTGTGCCTTTGCATGACGCATGTGATTGCGGGACATGGTTGTTGTGAGGAATGAGGATCATGAATCTTTGTGTCTATTGCACGTGATCACAAGCAATATTAATTGTGATTTGTGTAATTTACCCTCCCAATGATTTGTGTCTATTGAATGATTGAGAATTAGACATAAAGAGGAACAACTTTTGTAGCCTCAACGCAAATGAATGGAAGGTTGGACAAGATTGTTAATTAGTTGAGTGAATGTGAAGTTAAGGCGTAGAACACAACATCTGATAGATAGATAGATAGGCACAAATGCAAATGGAAGTGGGACAGATCAGAGATATGCTAAATTGCGTACACGCAACGGCTACACAAGCTTTGCTGCCTCTAGCTTCCTCACACCTAAGGTGCTTGCTTCCCCTTATTATTTATTTTTGGTAGAGATTAACTTTATGGACTCAAATTAAACTACCCACCTCATTTAAAAATTTTCGATAAGATTATGAGTCGTTTATCTCATCTTTAATGTATCAAAGGATATATAACACAAAGAAATTTGAATTTAATTCTAAGTTTTAACTAATAAGAACAAAAAGGTTTAACCAATTATATCACTTTTATGAAATAATTTTACTCTTATCATAACATTTTTTTAATAATTTTATTGTCAATTGATGCAAAATATACTCCAATTATGTAAGAAAATGAATCATTAGAGTCAGTTTAATAATGAGTTATAATAATATACACATGATTTTATGTTTAAACTTTGTTGTTATTATTGTAATTTTTATGAATAAAAAAAATAATTTTGCAAAAAGAGTTATTTATTATCTTTAATGAAACTTTTTTTTTTTTTTTCACATGAAACCTCTCTTTCTTAATCACTCTTTTTCTACAAATCTTTTTTAAAGTGACTCAATACCGAAAATATATTGATTGCTGTTGTAACTTGTAACATGAATCATATCACTCATCAACTAATTAACCTTTGTGTGGGTAATGGAAATTGAAAGAGAAATGCATATTAGGTCCCGCTAAGCAAAAGTTTGGTATCTATGGCCCAAAGAAAATAAAAGAAAAAATAAAGCAATTTGCTTGTTTCCATTATTATTCTTCATTTGGCTCTGCGTCTAAATAGAAAAGTGATAAAAATGGAGCCATATTACATTGTATTTGAGTTTTCTTTTTCTTTTTCTTTGATTTATTTCGTCGGCAGCTCTGAACTGGGTTCCGTGTCTAATTCCTAGTCTTGTTTTGCTCATTTTGTTTATTGGAAAAAAAGGGCTATATTAACCCAAAACTAAACCTAAATTTGGAACTTTATTCATTCTTGGGTAGAGATGATGAAAATGTCTCCACCTTAGTTGTACGCCAAAGGTTGCAGGAGTTATTTTCAATTTATTTTAAGGAAATTCAACTCATTACATATTTATTTTGCACCCATTTAAAAACAATTGATTTACACTTTCTAAAAGTAATATATATATATATACCTTTTTTGTAGTTTTGCACTCAATTTTTGGCAATCTTTTATATATAATTGTAGATAATATATATGTATTTCACCCCTTTAATTTATAGAATTAAGTCATACTATAAGAGTAGAGGAGTAGTAGCAATCTTAATGAATTTTCTCATTTTGTGCAGGATCTTTTGGCTAGGCAGAGATCCACAGCCATGGAGCTTGAGCTGTGGAAGTCTAGGAAGGATTTAGAGGTCCAGAGACTTGCAGCTATAGCTGTGATTCTGCAGCTATAGCTGTGGAAATCTGGAGTGCTCATTTTTTGTTCCAGAGAGCGTTGAGGCTTGGGAAATCAAGAGAAGCCACAGAGACTCACAGCCATGGCTGTGGTTCCACAGCTACAGCTCAGGAAGTTGCTTAATAATGAAGGAGTCTCCACAGCCATGGCTGCAAAGCTACAGCTGCAGCGCCAGAAGTTACTTCACCTTGAAGGATTCTCCACAGCCATAGCTGTGGTTCTACAGCTGCAGCGGTGGAGTTAAAAATTTCACTTTTTGCCCAGTTTTAGAGCTGATATAAAAGGGAAAAAGGAGGAGAACCTAAAAAAAGAATACGGATCACGAATTTAACAGAGAAAAACAGGGGAAAAGCTTGGGAAGAAGGAAGAACGAAGGAAGAACAGAGACTTGGAAGCTGGATCCTTTGGGAACGAAGATCAACTCCATTTCTTCATCCTTTGCTTTGTAATTTCTTCTTTTCACTCTTTGATTCTGTAATGGCCATGGGTGGCTAAACTTCTTAAGGATTGGTTAGATGTAACTACTAACTCCTCTTCTTCTTAAATATATGCATTTTGATCTCATTATTTGTGTAATGATTCTTCGCTTAACGCTTATATCGGCTTGATCAACCGTTGTATGATTTTTGGCTTTTGAATCCAGTTGGAAAACGCTTTCGAAAACCCGAACTGAATCTTGCACCTAATCACCTCTTGTTCTAGGAATAGACTTGATTTGGTTAGTCACATTGTTCAAGTTATTGTTCTTAATGCGAAGTGTTAGACTCAAAACATTGAGGAATCATGTTTTGAGCTTAATGACTTTAGGATTCAACCTTGAGGAATCTTGTTGGATTATTTAATGAACGTGGAAATAATGAAATTAGAATTGCATTTATGCTAAGAAGATCTATGAGTTAGCAAGTGCATCTGAGCCAATCCTTGTTTCTTAATCATTGTCTTTACTACATTTGCCTTATTGTGTTGTTTGAATCTGTTTTCACTCAATTGAATTTTTAAACTCATTCTCTTTTAAATCATTTGAGCGAGAGTTACTAAACACGCAAATCCCTGAGGACGATCTTTAAATACTACTTCGAAACTTGGTTCACTTGCCAAGTGATAAGTTTGCGAAAATCTTCATCAATAATAACACTGATATAATTTTTACTAAGTATTACATCGCTCAATAACTTTATATTAAATGTGAACTTTGTAAATCTAACCGTTAGATTGAAAATTGATATCTCGTAGATCATATATACAAAATTTTATATTAATCCAAGATAATTTGATACTTCATTTTTATAAAACAAAATTGACATAATATATTCATTTCAAAATGTACTAAGATATGAATACTTTGATTACCTTCAAATTGTTGTTCAATTTTAACAAAATTTGATATACATGTATAAAATGGTATGAACTTTCAATCTAACGGTTAAATTTATAAAATTTACAATTAATATAAAGTTATTGAACGGTATAATACTTAGTAAGAGTTACATCAGTATAATTATAACCCCTATATATATAGAGAGAGAAAATACATAATTTATAATCATTTTTTTTTCTTTACATTCTTTAGACAACTTTATCTTTAAATTTTAAATAATAATAAATAATTTTAAAAATTAATCACTTGTATAACTATTCAAATAAATTAATTATTTTTAATCATTCAAATTCTTAATTACCCCTGTTTCTTAACTTTAATTTTTATTTTATTTTAAAATTCTTAAATATAAAAATACAAAGTGCGTGAAAGTCAAAAATAATAATAAAGTTAAGCTACACAAATCTTATTTCATAATTGTTTCGGACTAGGTTTTTTCATGTCACATAGAATGCGATGCGATCTTAATATTAGAGTGAAAGTGCAAGTAACAAATCTTATATTAGGTATAGATAGAGTGAGATATAAGTGGTGATGAATATCAAATCTAACTTGTAATGTTTTGGGTTAGATGTGATATTTAATTTGAGACTCATTAATAAAAAAAATAAAATAAAATCGGTGTTTAATCTTTTCATATTGCTTAACAAATAGTCAAATTCGTGATATTTTATGTGTTTACGGTGATATAATAAATAAAGGTATTTTATGTAAAATTATTTTAAGATATAAAATAAGCACTTAATTTTATTAAATATGATATTTCTTATATACCAGATATTTATTTTACTTATAGTTAAATACATATAAATGTAAAATATTGCATGTAAATAGATATTTAATCTTTGGCAGAAGTTGGATTTTTGAAAGTTTTGTTTCGATAAGTTGAAATTTAGGAATTGAAAAAGTTTAAAAGAAATGTTAAAATAAAATTGAACCATAATTGTTAAATAATTAGGTTTTTTCCTTCATTACATTAAAGTTGTTTTAACTTTTTGAGCTACTTAAGGTCAAGAAGGTTATTTTCTGAAACACTCCTTAGAATTGACTAACAAATAGTATTAAAATGAAACAAATTATAAGTCCCAAGTTCTTCTATATTAATTCTTTCTAAGTCTATTAAAACAACAGTTCAATAAGTTGTTATATGTACACTTCAAGTTCAAAGTCAATTAAGGCAAATCGAATTAGTCATTTACATAAACCTCTTTGCATTTATATGCTTGAGGCTCACAACCCAAAATCAATTAGAGTAAACTATTTTGATCTCATATATGTATATTATTTATGACATTTGCTTAATAACTTAGTCAAGATAAAGGTCAAATATTTTGACCTTGAAAATTATAGATATTTATAGTAACTGTAATCATGTCAAAAAAATTTTTTTTTGGAAATTATCTCTAAAGAATTAAAGATTTTGATAACTCCCAAATACAAGTATATAACTTCCTCTTAGAATAAGAGATAGATAGATTACACTTTTTTTTTGTGGATACTTTAAACATTAATTACTATTAGACTTTTTTAAATACTTTCCATATCAGACCCATTACCATTTTATTTATCATACTCTATTGTACTTAAAGTTACACCTTCGTATCATTAATTAGAATAGCACTCTTCACTTCTTCATAAACTAAACCTACTATAAGTATATATATATATATACACACATATATATATATATAATTATTAATTAAGAAATGAGACATACACAAATTTATAATTTTTAATAAATTTTAATTAATGGTATCAAAAGAAATTTAATTAATAATAAAATGCATGTTTAAAAAAATGACAAATAATATATTACGAACATTTCTCCTTTTTTATCAATAACGGAACTTTTTAATGTGTCGAGCATGTGTTAACATGGCACCTTTCTAGAGTTTTAATCATCATTTTAGAAAAAAGTTGACATAACCATGTGGCGTATTGAAAAAGATCATTTTGACAATTATGGATATATGGTAATTCACAAGGGTAAAAACAACGGAGACGTAAATGACTTTGAAGAGATCTTTATTACATTATGAATTTAATTCAACTATATTAACAATGTAATGAAAATAAACTTATAAATTATTAAATAAAAAACTTTTGGTTATATATGACCAAAAATATATTTTGTAAATACAGACTATATTTTAGTTGTAACTGTAACAAGCAAACATTCCTGGACAGTGGACCCTTCTTTCGTAGTTTTAAAGTGACGAGTGTCCGTCCATTCGGTGTTGCCCCTCCTTATAATAATAAATAAATAAAAAGTGTCCATTTGGTTTGGAATATCTTGCCAAATAAGGTGCTATCAAAATAAATTGGCTAAGCCCATTAAATAATTTATTAGCCTGATATTTGAGGTCCATTTTGTTACAAATCACCAGTTTTTTTTTTTTAATTTTTATTTTAAATATCGCATGGTTTGGAGATATTTAACATTGAGAAATATTTGGCATTATCATTCCAATAATTCGAATAAAGAAAAGAATAGAGGATTTTAGATGGGTGGGTGAGCCACTTATATTGTGCAGATGGCTTTTATTTATTTTATTAAAAAAAAAACTAAGACGTGTTTTATGAAATAAAAATTCCTGGAGGTAAATGGCAATGAAAAATTCAATAGTTTAAAATTTTATAAAATTTTTAGCAAGTGAAGACAAAAATAAAAGGTTAAGTAAATGTATCATTGTTTATTTATGAAACATGATGTTCAATTTGCGGAGGTAAGAGTAAGAGAGCATGGGCTGAAATAAAATAGAAAATGTTGGTAAACAATAAGACAGGGCAAACCGCTGATCAATTATTGAGAATTAAGAAGAAGCCAACAGTCCATAAATACAACTACCGCTCACCGCCATGTCTCGTGCTCTCAGTAAAATCAGAGTGTGCACTTTTAGATTTGGTTGCTTCTTTTCTTTTCTCACACAAACGACAATGCATAAAACCAAAACCATTGTTAACTCTTGCAATATCAATTTAGTTTGAATTTACACAAGTTTATTTATATTGTGCAAAAATTAAACAATATTTTTTTATTTAGTATCCGTATAAAAATTTGTTTATAACATCATATCATTGAGTTACGTACATTGATATTTTATTAAAAGTCAACTAACTCTTGTATATATACGATTAACCAACTCTTTACATATTGTCATAAACTTTAGATTACGTAGCTTCATTGAAATAATATGAGTGCATCAAAATTAATGTAGAAAAAGAAAACGAAAAAGAAGAAAGAGCGTCCGTGACACGAACGGTGTACACAAGATGTTTATTTAGTAATCGTAAACTTTATAAGATTCGAAACGTGTTAAAACCTTGGAAAAGCCAGGCAAACACTGATGTATTTTTGTATAAATCTCCCAACTCTTGTTCCTTCAGTTTCTTTATATCTCTTATTGTTATTATTATTACCACCTTGTATCTCTTCCATGATTAGCTCCGAAATTTAAGAGTATAAAAACATTGTCAATAAAAATGGCTTTTCATTTGTTTGTAATGTCAGATTTGGGTTTGCATTAGCCAAACAAAGTAGAGTGTTGTGGTGTCAACCAAGTTTCATCAGAATTGGCATGGCGAGAGTTTTGTGGGTTGGCATTGCTATAGGACTTGTTTTTTGCAACTGGGTTGATGGCTTGGTAGGATATGAAGATCACTTCAATGAAACAGAGTTGTCTCTGTTAGAGGCTCGTGAAGCTTCCTTGTCCTACACTGGGGGGAATCTTCTGCTGGTAGGACTCACCCTAATTCAAAATGCTGCAGCTAAAGGAGCAGGTACATAGTACAATCTCATTGCAATTTGCAACCTTCGTTATTTCCTGTCAACTTTGTTTTTCTCCCTCTGCATCTTCTTTATTTTGTTTTATATAAGCAAATTATCTTATGACACAAGTTGAAGTATAGTTGCTCGTGCAACCTTCTCATTTTAATATTTGATTGTTACTCGTAATGCACTTTCTTTTTTTTTTAATTTAGTTTCGTGTTATTTTTAGTTCTGATTTTTTATGCTCTAGTATGTTATTTAAAGCAAATATGTTATTATCGGTAGTTATATTTAATTTGACCTATTTGTCAACCCCCTTTCTATTTTGTTCTTCCTCCTAGTACTAAATCCTTACACCTGTTACTGTATTGCATTAATTCCTTGTGTATTGTATCTCAATGAATTATTAACTAACTAAAATATGAATGTTTCTACATGATGAAACTGCAATATATTCATGGAAAACTTGGCATAGGGTCGCAGTTTTAAACCATAATTAAGAATGATTTGCCTTTAATTTGGCTAAATATGATTCCTTTCTTTGGCTTTGGAAGTCTGCTTGGATGGAACATTACCTGGTTATCATTTGCATCGAGGATATGGATCAGGATCAAATTGCTGGCTTATTAATTTAGAGGTAACACTTTATCTTTTAAGTTGTTCTGCTTCATTTTATTTTCTGTGATACATTTGTTTAACAAATAAAATATGCCTGCAAAAGGTTGATAAAACTTTCTTTTGACACAGGAAAAGCATTTCTTGTGAATGTGTAGTTGGAATCCCATTTTTGTGACATGACAAGGCTGGAAATATTTAGAAATAAAAGTTTTAGGATAACCTAATGTCATTGAGATTTTCTTTTCCTTTTTTTTTTTTTTTTTATTTTTTTTTTTTTTTTTATTTTTTTTTTTTTTTTTATTTTTTTTTTTTTTTTTATTTTTTTTTTTTTTTTTATTTTTTTTTTTTTTTTTATTTTTTTTTTTTTTTTTATTTTTTTTTTTTTTTTTTTTTTTTTTTTAAGTATTGTGTTGATCAACTTACTTCCTACCCTTCTGTGCTGTTAAAGTTTTTAGTGATGGTCAAGTGAAAATTCTGTGGCAGGGGGGTGGATGGTGTAATAATGTTAGAACATGTGTTTATCGCAAGAAAACCCGGCGTGGGTCATCAGATTTCATGGAAAAGGAGATACCTTTTACGGGAATATTAAGTAATAAGGCTGAAGAAAATCCAGGTTTCCATTCAATTGAACTATCTGGAACACTCAACTTGTGCTTCTTCTTTTTTCTTTTTTTTTCTTCTTTTTCTTGTTATAGCCATTAGCCGTTGTGCTCATGTTATTGTTCCTCATGTTTGTAGATTTTTTCAATTGGAATAGAGTAAAGCTTCGTTACTGTGATGGTGCCTCATTTGCTGGGGATGGTCAAGATGAGGTAGAGTTTGATATCTTGGTGTTCCTAGAATGATATTTTGATTGCAAGAAGATGAAACACAAAAATTGTTTTGTTGCCAAAAATTCGCTTAGCATTCATATGTATGATCAATTGAGGGTGAGGGTTATTTCACTCTATTTACTTGCATAAATTGTTTGTCAAAATAGCCTGCAGAACTGCAATTCAGAGGGCAGCGTATTTGGGCAGCTGCAATGGAAGATTTGATGTCAAAAGGAATGCGTTTTGCCAATCAGGTTATAGACACTCGTGTACATGCACATATATAGTATTATTTGGTTAGCAGTAATCATTTCTCATAAGTGTAGATTAACCTTCAGTTATCGGCTCTAGCTCTAGTATCAAATAAATAAATAAATAAATATAAAAAAATGCTATTTATGAACATATAACTTTGCTTCAGGCTCTTCTTTCGGGATGCTCTGCGGGTGGCCTAGCTACTATTATTCATTGCGATGAATTCCGTGGTCTCTTTCCAAGGACCACCAAAGTGAAATGTCTCAGTGATGCTGGGTTGTTTCTTGATTCGTAAGTGGCAAATTGAAGTATTTCATGCTTTATTGTTATTCCCCTCCACCATCATAGAATTTTCGTTCTTAAATTAGTGTTCTATTGTTGTTCCCTTTGGATTTATAGGATTGATGTATCTGGTGGGCGCACCCTCAGGAATTTATACAGTGGTGTCGTAGGATTGCAGGTATGAAAGCACTTCCATATTTCATGGTTCACTTGAGAATTCACTAATAGTACGTGGTTTAACAAGAACAGAACTAAAAGCTAATATCGAATTCTAGCACCACTTTCACATGGATTTTACTGAACCTGAACAGGAAATCATATTGTTAGCAGTTAAATTGTATTTCGAAAACCATTTTTATTTTTAATTAAAACAGCATCTAAGACCATGTCTGACAGTTTGTGTGGTTTGAAAACTGTCATTTTACATGATACAAGTTTCAAGGCATGCTGATAAATATTTGTTTAATCATCGCAGGGAGCACAGAAGAATCTGCCACAAATTTGTACTAATCAGCTTGATCCCATCTCGGTAATCATTGACTTCTGACAAAAATTTAGAAATATCATTTTTCATTTGACAGAATATGCAGCAAATGGATACATTATTGTTGCTTGCTCTTAATTGAACTGTCAGTGACTTGTTTTCTGCCCCTTTTCAGTGCTTCTTTCCTCAAAATTTGATTGCCAGTGTTAGGACCCCGCTTTTCATTCTTAATGCTGCTTATGATTCATGGCAGGTAACTTGTCTCAATTTATCAACTGGTAATAAATCATTTTTGATAAATAGTCTTAACAGTATTGATCATTAAATTAGTTGTTGCAAATTAATCTAAATAAATATATTTTCCTGCTTATCCTCAGATCCAGTCTAGTTTAGCTCCTCCATCTGCTGATCCCCATGGCTATTGGCATGAGTGTAGATTAAACCATGCTAAATGTACTGGACCACAAATTCAATTTCTGCAAGGTAATAATGATGTATGAGAAAAAGCATTAATTACAAGTGGAGTGAAGTCCTCAATAAATTATTCAGTTGATTGAGACATTTCATTGTCTCCTTGATACAGGGTTCAGGAATCACATGCTGCATGCTATTATAAACTTCTCAAAATCAAGCCGGAATGGCTTGTTTATTAATTCATGTTTTTCTCACTGCCAAACTGAGAGACAGGATACATGGTTTGCTGACAATTCTCCTGTTATTAGGAACAAGGTGAGCCTCATAATTAAGACTAATGTGATTTCAGTGTGACATGTTAGCATGCACTTTGTTTTCCTAACGTATTTTTTGTTGCACTTGTTAAATAAGCTACTTTATAGAGTGCTTGAAATATATATGCTATTTAATTTAAAGGTGTCAATGTATCTAATATGTAGACATGGACTATATTGCAGACAATTGCTCTAGCTGTTGGAGACTGGTATTTCGATCGAGCAGGTGTTAAGGTCATTGATTGTCCATACCCTTGTGATAATACGTGCCATCATCTGATTTTCAGATGAGCCAAGTTCATCCATCATCTTATTCATTTTCACGCTCTTCTCATCAGTGAAGGATTATGCTATTCAAATTACGTTATGGAAACAATAAAAGAAAAAAAGGAAGCTGAAAATTGCAAATTTAATCTGACAACCATTACTAAATGTTGGTCAAAGTACTTTTCATGTTGAGAATGTCGTGGCAAATCCCTTTTACTGTAGCAATAATCAAATGTCATCACTTATTTCCTTTTTAGCTGGGGATAAATAGAACGTGTTCCAATAAAGTTTGGCACACTTAGTCAACAGATAGTTGTGTTCTTAATTATGTTGTTGATAGGAGTTTGATTCATGATTGTTTACATGAAAAAAAAAGACATTTTTAGAATATATCTTTGTGTTGTCATGGTTATTTTTGTCAATTTGTTTGATAGAGATATATTTTTATTATAGGAGGGTTATATCTTTTTATTTTTGTTGGGTTATTGTTGATCATTACATCATTTCACATTTTGTGATATTAATTGATAAATAATATATATATATATATATATATATATATATATA